GACAGTTGTAGCAACATGGATGGAACTTGAGGGTGTTATGCTGAACGAAATCAGTCAGACAGAGGAGAACGGATACCATATGTTTGCACCTATAGGCGGATTAGGAGGAACTTAACGTAGGACCATGAGAGAGAAGAAGGGGAAAAATAGTTGGGGAGAGGGAGGGAGGCAAACCATGAGAGACTCTAGAAGGCTGAGAACGAACTGAGGGCTGATGGGGGTGGGGGAGAGGGGAAGGGGGGTGATGGACATGGAGGAGGGCACTTGTTGGGATGAGCATTGGGTGTTATATGGAAACCACTTGACAATAAACTATTAAAAAATAAATATAAATAAATAATAAATAAATAAAAATAATTTAAAAATAAAATTAAAAGCAAAAGTACAGGGTAACCTTGATAGCTAAGTTGGTTAAGAGTCCGACTTCAGCCCAGGTCATGATATCACGGTTCGTGAGTTTAAGCCCCACATCAGGCCCTGTGCTGACAGCTCAGAGCCTGCAGCCGGCTTCAGATTCTATGTCTCCCTCTCTCTGCCCCTCCCTTGCTCGTGCTGTGTCTCTCTCTCTCTCTCTCTCTCAAAAATAAACCAAAAAAAAATTATAAATAAATAAATAAAAGCAAAAGTACAGAATATTTTCTCCAGAAAAGAAAAGCCAAAAAAATTTTTTATCCACAGACTTGTAGAAGATAATTCTTTAGGTAGAAGAAAAATTGTATCAGATAAATTTTTGGATCTTCACAAAATGATAAAGAGCCTTGGGAATGATACATATAACAGTAAGCATAAGAGAGATTTATTCTAATTTTTAATTTAAAAAATGACTGTTTTAAGCAAAATTAATATATTGTGATATTAATAACATGCAATGATAAGATGTATGGCAATAAGCAAGGGTGGTAGAAGATTAATGGAAGTGCAATTCAATGAAAGCTTCTTATATTTTACACAAAGAAGTACACTGTTTGCAGGGAGACTCAGATGTGTTAAAGATACATTTGTAAATACTAGAGAAACTACACTCACTCAAAGACATATAGCTATTAGTGAAGATAAGCATGGAATGCTGAAAATCCATCCAAAGAAGATAGAAAAAGAAGCAATGAAGAAAAAAGAACAGACTTGAAAATGAAGAAAACAAATGGCAAGATTATCAATCCCAAATTGATTACTATCTACATTAGATGTAAATGGTCTAAGCATTCTAACTAAAAGAAAGAAGCAAGAACTGTGAAGGATCTGAGCCTTTAGTTTTGTAAAATAACAGATTAGACCTGCATACTTTCATAGATGTTGGCAGAAAACAAAGGACTTTGTTACCTCAAGTGCATGCTTATATTGCTTTCCCTTGATGAGAGTAATGGCCAGGTGAATGATGTGCACACAGTGAGTTTTGTCACAGCTAAGGAAGCTCCAATCTTACATAAGTTATGAGCAAATCTATCCACCTTTTGTTCTGGAGAGAGACATTATCTCTGTTGTACCAGAAAATAAGCAAATCTGCTCTAGAGGAGAGTATATCCTCCAAGTTTGCTTACTATACAAACATCTTTGAAAAACAGTCCAGAACAAATTATATTAAAACCTTTGCTTAGAAAACAGAAACATTGAAAGACCCATAGAGAATTTTCTCCCAATGGGCAGAGATTTTCAAACTGAATATTTAAAATGCAAGAACAACTACGAACTATTAGAAACACACTTTGTATATAAATATTAATACATTTAACAATTAAGTATATACAATGAAAACAAAAATCTTAAGAAAACTAGAATGACTGTAATAACATAATTGGTTGTCAGAACAAATCATATTAGTGCATGGGTGAACATTTGTAATGATAAAACATTCACACGAAGACATAATAATCATAAACACGCACCAAATAAAAGGGCCTCAAAATATGTTAAGCAAAAACTGGAAGAATTCGAAGAATAGACAAATCCACAATTATAACTGAAATATAAACATTCCTCTCTTAGGCAATGATACGACAAATAGAAAAGCAGTAAAGATATAGAAGACTTAAATTACATTATCAGCTAATAATCTGACTGATATTTATAGAATATTCCACAAACATAAATAGAACACACATTCTTTCAAGTACACCATAAAACACTAAAATAGACCATCTGTTGGGCCATAATGTAACTCTTAGTGGATTTTATAGAACTGAAGTGATAAAGAGTATGTTCTTTAATGGAAACCAACTTGACAATAAACTATTTAAAAAGATAAAATAAATAAATAAATATTTTTAAAAAAGAATATGTTCTTTGACCACAAAATTAAAAAAAACAAAAAAACTTTTAGAATTAAATTACAGAATATAAACATAAAATGGACAAAAGATTTGAACTATTCCAAAAAGATATATAAACATCCAGGTTGTACATGCAAAGGTGAGAAATGCAAACTAAACCACTACACACCCATTTAAATTGGTAAAATTTAAAAAGCTTATTGTACCAACTTTGGCTAGGATAAGAAACAACTGGTATTTTCTTATACCATTGCTATGAACAGAAATGCTATAAGCACTGTAAAATTCCTAACAGTTTTCCCATACATGTGAAATATGATCCACTTATCCTACTCACTTGTTCACTAAGGAGAAATAAACATGTTCACACAATGAATTGCACAGGAATATTTATAGAGCTTTGTTCATATCAGTCTCAAAATGCATATAGCCCATTAAGTCCTCGGATAGGAAAACTGATTTTTAAAATGTGGTATATCTACTTATCTTGATGAGCATTGAGTAATGTATAGAATTGTTGAATCACTTTATGGTATACTTGAAACTTTCACACTGTATGTTAACTACATTGGATAGAAAGGGAAGGGAAGGAAGGTTAGGGAAAGGGAAATGGTACATCTACAACACTGGAATATTTTTGAAGGAACTTATACACACAATAACATTGATGAACTTTAAAAACTTTACCTGAATGGAAAGAAGTTAAAGCACATGTGATATTCCATTTATCTAGAACTCTGGAAAATATAATCAACCTACAGGGACAGAAAGTAGTGTTTACTGTAGACATAAATAAATGGGAGAATATCCCACATTAATACATCAGAATTAATACTGTTAACATGTCCACACTACCAGAAGCAATCCAATGCAATCCCTATCAAAATTCCAGTATCATTTTTCACTGAAATAGAAAGAAATCTTAAAAAATTGAATGAAACCACAGAGAATCTGAATTGTCAAAACAGTCTTGAGAAAGAACAAGGCTAGAGTCATCATATTTTCGGATTTCAAACTATATTAAAAGCTATTACAATCAAAACAGTATGGTTTGGCATAAAAGTAGATGTAAAGACCAGTGGAGCACAAAAAAAGCCCCAGAAATAAACCCACATACATAAGGTCAGTTAATTTTTTAAAAAATGTTTTTAATGTTTTATTTATTTCTGAGAGAGAAGGAGAGACAGCATGAGCAGGCGAGGGTCAGAGAGAGAGGGAGACACAGAATCTGAAGCAGGCTCCAGGCTCTGAGCTGGCTGTTAGCACAGAGCCCAATGTGGGGCTCGAACCCACAAACTGTGAGATCATGACCTGAGCCAAAGTCGGACGCTCAACCGACTGAGCCACCCAGGCGCCCCAACGGTCAGTTAATTTTTGACAAAGGATCCAAGAACATACAATGGGTAAAGGACAGTCTCTTGAAACTTTTTTTTTTTTTAAATCTTTCAGAGAGAGGGAGACCATGGCAGTTCTGGGGAGAGGGGCTCAGGACAAGAGAGAGAATGAATTTCAAGCAGGCTCCAACCACAGCTCAGAGCCTGATGTGGAACTCAATCCCAGGAACCTGGGATCATGACCTGAGCAGGAATCAAGAGTTGGCCATTCAAATGACTGAGCCAACTGGGTACCCCAAGGATAGTCTTTAGTAAATGGTGTTTGGAAAACTGCACAGCCACATGCAAAAGAACATAAATGCACGTTTTAACACCATACACAAATATCAAGTCAAAATGAATTAAAGACTTAAACATATGACCTGAAACCATAAAACTCCTTAGAAGAAAACATATGCTGTAAGCTCCCTGACTTTGGTCTTGGTGATATTTTGCATTTGACACCAAAAGCAAAGGCAACAAAAGCAAAAATAAGTGGAATTACATCAAACTAAAAAACCTTTTGCGCAGCCAAGGAAACTACAAACAAAACGAAAAGGCAAGCTATGGAATGGGAGAAAATATTTGCAAATTACATATCTAATAATGGGTTAGTATCTAAAATACACAAGTTAAGTCCAACTCAACAGCAAAAGGCCAATGACCCAATTAAAAAATGGTCAAAGAACCTAAAAGGACATTTTCCCAACAACATACAAATGGCCAACAAGTCCATGAGGAAACGCAAATTAAAACCACAATGAGGTATCAAGTCACACTTGCTATTAGGTCTATTTCCAAAAAGAAAAGTTTTAATTGCTGGCAAGAATGTGGAGAAAAGGGAACCCTTGTTACGCTGTTGCTGGGATTGTCAACGGGTAGAATCACCATGGAAAACTCTATGGAAACTTCCTGGAAATTAATATATATATATACAAGCATCCCACTTTTGGGTATATAGACAACTGAAACCAAAACATTATCTTGAAAAGGAATCTCTAAACCCATGCTCGTTGCAGTATTAACAGTAGCAACCTATATAAACAACTCAATCTGTCCATTGACAAATGAGTAAAGAAAACGTAGTTTTCCTATTTTCTCCCTCCCTCTATCTGCCCAAACGCAGCAAGCTCTTCCTGGCATGGAGACCTTGCCTGTCACCCTGGCACCCGCCAGGAGGAGCTGTGCGGGACGCGGCGGGAGATTGCCTCTAGAGGGCGGTGGGGAGAGGCAGGGGTGGAGTGACAAGTAGGAGGGCGGGGCGTTGCCGCGGAGGAGGGGTGGGGCGGGCGGAGCCGCGGGGGCGGGGCGTTGCCGCAGAGGGGCGGGGCGGAGCCGAGGCGCCTGCGGTGGTGGGGGCGGGGCGAGCGCGGCGAACCTGGGAAGCGGATCTGACCGCGCAGTTCGCACCATCAGGTCTGGGCGGGCCCAGAGAGGGACCCCCAGCCGCTGTCCCCATGGGGATGTGTTTTCCCTGTCCGGGGGAGACCGCGCCTCCCTCGCCGGACCTGGTGAGTAAGGCCGCGTCCCCACGTCCCCACGTCCCCGGGTTCCCGTGTCCGCCGACCCGCGCCGCGCGCACCTGTTTTCTGGAAGGGCGCGCCGGAGGCCGCGGGCTGTGGGCTCCCGGGCCGGCCGTTGAGCGCGGCGACGCGGGCTGGACAGCTCGCCGGTGGGTCCCTGGCGGCGAAGACGTGTGGATACGCTCCGAGGGACCTTGGTTCCCGCCGCGGGACCGGAGCCGCCGCCGCCGCCTCCGTGTCGGTCTCTCCACTTCCGTTGCGAAAAATTGCCCAAAGGCGACTCTGGAGTCTGTTTACCTTTCGCAGACTTGGGGGAATTGGGAGTTCTTAGTACGCAGGCGTATGCAGCCGGTGCGGTGAGGGGGCCGTCCTGGGGGATGCGGTGGATGGTGTCAGGGTGCAAGGGAAGTTTTTGATCTTCTAGGCGATGTGCGTTATCCAGTGTCTGTACCAACTCTATAAAGAAGGTGCTTAATAAAGTCTCTTACACTCCTATGCTTAATTGGATATTGTAATAATGATTCCCATTACTATTTTATCTCTATTAAGATCTTCCTTCTTTTTAAACAGTAAAGATTTTACGTAGTACGGATCGTAGAGTTTGTAACTTTGCCGCATCTAATAAATAGAAATACAGAACGCACATCTAAATTTGAATTTGTAGATCAAAAGAAATATGTTTTTAAAATAGATGTGCCTCATGCAATATTTTGGGTTATATTTATACTAAAATTATTCATTGTTTAGCTGAAATTCGTCTTTAAGTGGTTTGTGGTACAATTCGTGTCTACTTTTTGTAGCTTTCACTTGTAACAGTATCTTTACATCAATAGTACTTACAGGTTGTTGGTAACAGAAAACCTAAAATACTCTCTTGTACCAAAAAATTCATTGAAAGAAATAAGTTGTTTGGGGAAGTACATTAACTCTTCAGCCATTTGATTATAGACACTAAAAATGATCTGGAAGTTGATATGGGAAAATTTACCTTGCCTTTCTTTCTACTTTTTAAATGTTAATTTTGTTTTTATGGCTGTTGGTAAAATACCAGTACACCAGCATTTGTTAAGCCCTCCCCCCATCCCCACAGATAAACACATGGCTCACTACCCGAATGTCACTTTATCTTTGGGGTTTATTCAGGACCTCCCTATGTAAAATAGATTCCCCACTATAGCACCCATCCATTCTTTCATTTCTTATCCAGCAGGCTCTTCTTTATATTTTCTCGAAGCACTTACTACTCTTTAACAGACTTGTTTATATTTAACTGTGTGCCTTCATTGGACTGCACGTTCCATGTGGATGGAAACATTTGTCTTTTCACTGCTGCATCCTCAGCACCTGAAAAGTTCCTGGGGCATGATGGTTGCTCAGTAAATATTTGTCCAGTTAATGAACGAATGTATGTATTGTGGTAAGGGAAACAAAGGAATTATTCACACAGCTGCCAAGGGAATGCTACTTACTGTCTTATATATTTAAAGAATTTATAATTTATAATTATATAAATACATAACATAAAAAACAATAGTCATTGTTTCCCAGATGGAACAGTACCTCTTACAAATTCCTTCAGGGCTTCATGTCCTACGCAATGAGATTAGCCCACTTCATTCACCAGTGTTTCCTGAAAATACCAGCCTACTTCAAACCACATTCTTCCTTTCTTGTATAATTAAATGTCATTTATTGTTGTCCTCACTAGCTTGTAAGCCTTTAAAAAAAAAAACAGCAAATATTTTATGGGCCAACCTGAATATATATAATAAATATGCATAAAGAATACATATTATATATATGTGTCTTTTGTGCTTATTTGAGATTATATCTATTGGGAGAATGAATTTCAGGAAGTAGAGTATTTCATAAATTTGTAAATAGTAGCGGTTTTAGTGGGACATTTTGAACAAGTACTAAATATTTTTGTAAGTTGGTTTTATTACCTATAACATACAAATTAACCATGATAATGTTTGGTTCTATTTACATTTTTATACACATTTTCTTTAGGAAGAGAAAAGAGCAAAGCTTGCAGAAGCTGCAGAGAGAAGACAAAAGGAGGTAAGAGTAGAAATAAAATTCTGCCCCCATAGGGGTGCCTGGGTGGCTCAGTTAGTTAAACGTGAGTTTGATTCAGGTCTTGATCTCACGGTTTGAGAGTTCAAGCCCTGCGTCAGGCTCTGTGCTAACAGCTCAGAGCCTGGAGCCTGTTTTGGATTCTGTGTCTCGCTCTCTGCCCCTCCCCTGCTCATACTCTATCTCTCGAAAAATAAATAGTAAAAAAAAAAATGTTTTAAATAAATTTCTGCCCACAGATAATTATGTTCTTTATTCTCAGTAGATGTCTGTTACTAGTATTCTGTAATAAACATTGTCTGATCTCCTGTAAATTTAGATATGCTCATTTTTAAATGATTCTGTATTTCTGTAACATTATACCTTAATTCATTTATATCATTTAATGCATGAAAATTACTGTACAGATATCTTCTGGAATGTGAGATGCCCCTTTAATAAAACCTTCCTTAGGATGAAGTGATCATACTTTATACAGACATGAAGTTAAGTTTAGGGAAAAAAAAATACCCAATGAAGAAATGATGTTTTATGCAAAGTTGTTATAGAAGTAGTCTAATTCTTGTTACCAAAAATAAAATTCTCTTCCAAAGAAAAACCTAAAAAGCAACAAACCGATACCTTGTGGACACTGGATATTGATGTTTGTTGTTTTTCTGAACCATCTAATAAATTTTCTAAAGGCTGCATCTCGGGGCATTTTGGATGTTCGGTCTGTGGAAGAAAAGAGAAAGAAAAAAGAAAAAATAGAAAAACAAATTGCTGCGTCTGGGCCTCCACCAGAAGGTGGACTTAGGGTAAGTGTTAAAGCTTACTGACTGTTTAATTTACTTGGAATGTTAAAAAATGTCAGTAGCAATCTATTCAATCATTTCTGGTTGAAATAGGTTATCAGAACATTTTGAATTAATTGAGAAGCACAAATAAAATAGATTGGAAGAAGTGCCAATTTATTTGGACATTCCAACATTCATTATAATAGATTTGCCTTCTTTTCCCCAAAATAAAAATAGATTGTTTTTCCTGATTATCTTAACACTATATCTTAATACTTTGTATTTATATAATTACTAATAATATATAGGAAGCTTAATATGGAAGAGTATAGAGAAGAACATAAAATTCACCCCAATTCAGTGTCATTTTGACAGACATCATTTCTAATCTCCATTTATACATCAACCTTAATTGAATTGGATTACACCATAGATTCCTCTTTTTTTTTTAATAACACATTTTTTTTTCACTGAGTGATTTCAGGATTTTGAGCTTTCCATGGTCACTTCTTATAGTTTGATAAATGTCAGTTTGGAGAATAGACTGTACAGGGGTAAGTGTGACACATGCATTTCCACCTCCCAGCATAGCAATTGCAGCCCTTGACATTGAAATACAATGATGGGCAAGTTAAACAGGACCCCGAACTTGGGGATCTTTACAGTTTTCTATAAAGGTTTTCTGTAAAGGTTTTATTTTACATGTTAAAGCTCAAGAAAATCATTGTTCAGATACTAAGATTTTATACTTCGGTTCATTTTTAAAGGAAAACATTTTTTAAGTACATGTTTTCATGAAAAAGACAGTGTCCTGAATTTCATTTATATTTAACTTGTCAGTGATTTATTAGCACTTGTTTAGAGGATTTACTGCCTTCTCAATTCAGTTTGTTCTTCTAAGTTTTAATTTTTGAAGTCTAGCTAATATACAGTGTTACATTAGTTTCAGGTATATGACATCATGATTCAACACCTCCATACATTTTGCCGTGCTCGCCACAAGTGTAGCTACCATCTGTCACCATACAGTGCTGTCATAATAGCACTGACTTTTTTTGGCTCTCAAAACTATACATAAATACATACATGTATATGTCCTCCTAACCTCTGGGGCAGGCAGTTTAAAAGCATCCTGAGAAGAGGTGCTTCTGGCTCAGGAATATCACACAGAGGTAAGACTTATCACACAGAGGTATCACTTATCTGTGTGTATTTTACCTCTAGTTTTATTTAACAAATGAAAGTAAAAGAAAATTTTTATCAACTTTTAACACTGTATAGAATAATTGGTTTCAATCTTAAGGTAAATAGCTGTGACCGCTGTGCTTATGTTTTTTTATATACCTCCACCATAGAATAGAATAAATCTTCTGTAAAGTAAAACAGTTGGTTAATACAAAGTCAAGATATCTATCAGAAGTACAGATGTTTACGTTCATTATTCTACTGAGATACAAGTCTGTGCCCCTAGGTTTATTTCATAGAAGCTTCTCAAAAACAGAAATTGTGAACATTAAATTGTAGGACCGGAAATGATGCAGAGTTTCAGTGTTTCATAATAGAGGACATGAGGGTACTGAATGACAATCAAAATCACATAAAATGTTATAAGAACATACAGTCAGAATTAAGAAGGCATTTATTTGACATATCCTAACCCAATAAATTTAACATCAGCTTTTAAACTCTAAGAAAGAAAGTAGCTTTCTTAATTAAATCTGAAGCCTATGGGTTAGAAATAAGTTAGGCCATGTACGGCTTTTGGTTCCTTCAGAAGCATTCAGAATTAAAATCATCCCAATTTTAAATTTAGTGTCTGTTTTTCTTTGTTTACTGTTCTCACAAGAAAGCTCTCTGGTTCCAGCAATAAAAATCACCCACAGGGTCATCTCCTTAGACAGCGGCTCTTTCTGATAAACTGCTACTGTTGTACTCTGTGTCATTTTCCCTTGGACTATTCCTAATCACTCCTACCATTGACACACTAGCTTTAAGAGACATACTCTTTTCCCCTCGACCACCTACATAGATCACTGAGAGCATACAGTGAAGTTCAAAATAAGTTTTTAGAGACTCAGGGCTAATCGAAGGGGAAACATAAGGCAGAGAGTAACTTTCATCTTCAAACCCGTTAGCCTAGGGTCCTTTAAGAGCTGTTGCCAGGCATCTTCTGTAGGCTGGCCTGTTGTGTCCTACTGCATAGCTAGATTTTTCCTCACCAGTCTTCTCAGTATGAGGAAAATATGGCCTCTCCCTGTCTTCATGTACTCCACATATTCATCTCCTGACAGGCTCTGCCTCTTCCTAGGATGATTGGCATTGGCAATGCTCACTATTTTCCAGGAAGGCAGTCTTATTTTTTTTGTTTTAATTTCTTTTTATTGTCACATAATTTTACATTAGTTTAGTTTCAGGTATAGAGCATAGTGGTTCCACAAGTCTATACATTTTGCTGTGCTCACGAAAAGTATAGCCAACATCTGTCACCATACAACCCTATTACTGTACCCTTGAGTGTGTTTTCTATGCTGTACCTTTTTTCCCCGTGACTTACTCATTCCGTAACTGGAAGCCTGAATCTCCTACTCCCCCTCACCGATTTTGACCATCCCTCCACACCCTCCCCGCCAGCAACCATCTGTTCTCTGTATTTATGACTATGTTTCTGCTTTTAAAAATCTGTTTTCTTTTCACATGTAAGTGAAATTATATGATAATTTATTTGTCTTTCTCTGTCTGACTTATTTCACTTAGCATAAAACCCTCTAGGTCCATCCGTGTTGTTGCAGATGGCAAGATCATTTTTTATGGCTGAGTAATATTCCAAAGTGAGCATGCGTGTGTGTGTGTGTGTGTGTGTGTGTGTTTGTGTGTGTGTGTGTGTGTGTGTGTGTATACATACACATCTTTATCCATTCATCTATCAGTGGATACTTGGACTGCTTCCATGACTTGGTTATTGTAAATAATGTTCTAGTAAACATACTGGTGCATCTATCTTCTCAAATTAGTGTTTTCATTTTCTCTGGGCAAATACCCAAAATAGTGCAATTACTGGATCATGTGGTATTTCTAGTTTTGATTTTCTGAGGACCCTCCCACTCTCTTCTAGAGCGGCAAGGGAGCCTTATTTAAGAGGTCAGTGTGATGACGACATCATGGTGCAGACTAAAACCTGTTCAGGATGGTACAGTACAGGAGTAGTGGCAGACCTCTAAGGCAGTGGCTCATAACCCTGGCTGCATGTTAGAATCTCATGAGGAGCTTTCAAAAAAGGCCCTTGGGTCCCACCTCATACCAATCAGAATCTCTGAGAGGGGTTTAGTCATCAGGACTTCTTTAAGCTCCTCAAGGTACCCTAATGCCAAACCAGATTGAGAATCACTCTCTAGTCTTTGTAACACTAGTCTTCAAAGATATATGGTGGGAAATAGAGTCCCATGGTAAAAAATAAAATACTTTAAATTCCTGGATACTGTGTTGCATACTGAATCCCTTTCTTAGAGAATCAAAAGTGCACAGTGTTCCATGTGTCTAAGTCCTAAAATAAAAGCAAATTTACTTAGATTAACCCTTAATTTTCAAAACTGCAATATAGATTTTTAAAAAATATATAACACCCAGTAATATTCCTTGGGTGTACATGAAAACCACTACTCAAGAGACTGGTGAATACCTGGTACTATCCCAGGGACTCTTCCAGAATCTACTCCTGCAGATGTAGTAGGCGTGATTGAACAGAACAACAAATTTTCTCAACTCAGGCAAGAAAAAGACTTTGCCAAACCATTACTTAATAATTTCTGCCATCCCTTGGCTCCCTGCCTCAAACAAGAATTCCTCTATTTTTATTTTATAGTTTCATTGTTTTTATTTTGTGGCATTTTGTTTTGATTTTCCTAAGCTAATTACTGGATATTTGGGATTTAGCTACCCTTTAATCTGCCCAGATATTTTGTTTTACTTCTCTACATCTTTAAACAATCATATATCTTATTTCAGATGTTTGACCATAATGTACAATTATACTAATCACTGCTGTGCAAGGAAATCATTTTGCATTTGTATAGCCCATATTTCCGTTTTTGTTAACTAGGATATTTTTACATAACTTTAAATAAAATTTACTTGTCTCCATATGTTTTTATCTTTTCTAGTGGACAGTTTCATAAGCGTAACATGAGTGGAAAAGTCTACTGCCAGTAACTAATATCTGCAATCAAGTGGACGTCCTCAGCTTAATTTCTTCTCTGAATAAATGAAGTAATTTATTGTAATTGTAGTGCCATTAAATGCAGTCAGTGCTTTTCCAGTATTGATAGACTGAAACTGCTCTTGATTTTCAAACTTAGAAAATGGCCAGACCCTTCATCAAATACTTATTTTCTTAAATTTGCTCTTCTGCAGGTAGTGGGTGATTTGCCATTTTTTAGTAGTTAAAACTTGGACCTAAATAGTGAATGTATATATATATATATATATATCGCATGCAAAACAGCTGCATACGTCTCAGACATTAAAGTTTGCCGTTGTATTTTGTCTCCTTTATACGATGACCTAGCGATCTATATTTTTCTGCTTAGCCTTGTATCTGTTTTTATTTCACTATCTATCTATGAAAATTATTGCTTAAACTTATGGACTTTGTGCCTTTAAACTGATCATCAGGGAAAATCTTGAAAAATCATTTGAAGGGCTTATGTGAAGGAACACTGTAAATTTTTATATCTTATTAATAAGTAATGAAAAATTTGTAGAAAATGTTGAATTTCTCCTTATTTATTTTCTATTTCTGTGGCTTATAAAATTAACATATAGGGTTTTACATTGCAATAAAAGTGTTTTTTTGCTTGCTGAATTTAAAATTATATATTGATAGTACCATCAGAGGGCAGTGACGGACTATTACATGATATCAGACTCAGCTCTAAAGATCTTGTAGTAACTGAACGAGTTAAACTAAGAATCTGATGGGCTGTACTGAGTGATGATACATTTGTCCAAAGTTCATAGATGTTTTTATTCTTTTGTATTTATTAAAGAATGATCTTAAGATTTCTACAGGTGTGAAATTGCCAAGGCAAATATGAATGTATGAAATAGAAACGTGTAGGTACTGTATTTTAAAAGGTCTACTTTAAACATAAAAATATTATGAGGTAATTCTATGTGGTGCATAGTCATAAACTTTTCTCATTTTTGTTCATTCATTACATGAGTTTATAGCATTTTTGTTTTTTGAGTTTTTCCTTTAAGTATATAATAAGCTAAAGTAGGAGAATTGCTATATCTTTTAACGTGGTTGCTAATTCTTTTGGATGAGAAGGCCACAATCTGAGTCCTAAATTAGAATTTGTGGATAGTAAGTGCCAGTAGAGACTACAAATTAGACCAGCTTGTTTGATTGACAGAAAGAAAACCGAGCCATCACCATGCTCATCCCTCCCATAAGACCTGTGTTATATAGCAGTATCTTCTATTTGTAATTTTAAAGAATTTAACTATATTTTAGGTCTCTTGACTCTTCATTGGAAAAATTATTTTTTGTATTATGGCATAAAATAGTTTATGAATATCTAGGCAAGACATATATTTAGGCTCAGTTTTTCTTCATCCTTTAGAAGATTAGTGGTATTTTTGTTGATAAAGGATAGTGAAATCCTTGAATGGTACTTTAGAAATAAATTTCTTGACTTTATGAACAGAAAGGAAAAAAAAGATCATCAGTAGCTGAATAGATATAAAAGCAGAGTATGCTATCCTTGAACTGTGCAAATCCTTCCTTCTGCTTTACTATAAAGAGAACAATTTTATCTATACTATATCATAAGAATTACAGTTTGAGTTGGTGTAAACAAAGGTTTATATCCAGGGGATAATGCCCTATTTCTGTTAGAGTTTATATTCCAGATCCCATGCTTATTTACTATTGAACTATGAATGATATGCTGGTGTATTGCTTTCTGGGAACAATGGGATAATCTGCTCCAGCCAATCATGCATGGCCTGCTTCCATGGGTCTAATCAGCCTTCCCCAAAACTATATGGGCTGCATGGGCTAAGAGGTGACACTCAGATGTTAATAATAGTTTTAGGAAGGGGAAGGGAAAAGAGGAGACTAGATGCCTGATAGGAAACCAGGAAGTGACTACTAAAAAAAAAAAAAATGTACAGATATATCCAAGAATCTCCCTCATCAAGTTATGAATCAGTTCCTGATGAAAACTTAACTTGGAGCCAATTTCCCATAATTCATAATTCAAATAGGAAAACATAGCAGTGCTTACTATGTCACCCAAACCCTCCAACAAATTACTAAAATATAACTGAAACAGTAAAATGCTTTTATATAACTATCATATTAACATGTAGAATGCTAAAACCACTGCTTCTTAATTCTAATCATCAGACTACTATGTAATGTTAGTTATCAGACTGGTAATAAAAAGTTGTATATTATCATACAGCCCCTTTGTTAACATGCTGCATGTTTTTAAAAAATACCTATATGTGATACTATGGTTCCACCAATTGTATTTGGAATGTAATTAATAGTTTTCACACACCTGGTTTGTTATAAATTCTGTATTGCCTTATGGGGACATAAATACACATTTTTCCTATATTAAAATTGACTTTGGCCATCTCTTTAACAAAATTTTATCTTCACCATCTATTGAATACTTAGAACTTGGGTGAATGGTTAGGGAGACCACAACACTCATCTCTTTGGGATGAATGAGAACAACAGAGCTAAAGCCTGTTGGATATGTTCATACAAGCCCTAAATTTACAAATAGGCATGCTTCTTTTTCTATACTCTAAAGGAGAAATGATAATAGTTAGTCTCCTGTTGTCTTAGGGAAAGAGCACATTGATGTAAAGGTTCTAGCTATCATCCTTGGCACCCAAGGAGAATTGGCATTAGTTTTGAGTTTTCTTTTATCCAGCAGTTCGACTTGTATATATTCACTAAGAATTATACTACACCCTTAGAAGAAAAAGTAACTTGTCAGTATTAGGTTTGAATAATATCCACATAAATAGGTTAGTAAGACAGACGTAGGTAAATAGGCATACCTATCTGTGTTGACATTTAAGGGTGTGCGTGGTTGTTTTGTTTTGTTTCATTTTGAACACTTCCAAACAGGCATCTCAAATTCCCATGACTACTTCATGTACTTTAAGTTGATTCAAATGTCGCACCATAGCCATTTTCTTCTCAAAAGCCACTAAGAAGGCATTTGTATATTTCATAGACTTTGAACAAGTTTTGGATTGATACAGAGAAGTTTGTTTTGAAAACTCAAAACAGTTAAAATTTCTTATATGACATGGCTTTTTGTTTTCCTGTTCTTCTAGATATGTTTCAACTTGCCAATATTACCTCTAAATATGATTATTATGATCTGACCCGGACATGATACTTTAATTAAGCCCAGATTGCATTGCCTATTTTTTTAAGTTTATTTATTTTGAGGCTGGGGGAGGGAGAGGAGACAGGCACGAGTTGGAGAGGTACAGAAAGAGATAAGGAGAGAGAGAATCCCAAGTAGGCTCTGTACTGTCAGCACAGAGCCCAATTCAGGGCTCGAATTCATGAACCATGAGATCATGACCTGAGCTGATGTCATGACCCACCCAGGCTTCCCGCGTTGCCTGTTTTTATAGCACCAAACTTGACTTGGTTTCAAATTAATGTCCTCTAGTCACAGACAGGCTTGAGCCAACTTTTGCAAGTACTTCAAACTTCCTCAAATGAAACTAGTTTTACACACCAACTCTTTCTAGGCTATTTCTCCGAAATTTGTTTTGTCACCTCAGAAGTCAAAGAGTTATCCTAAACTCCCTATTTTATCTAATTCCTGGGGTGCCCTTTTCTTATTCTACATTTCTCAGGTAGGTTGTTAGTAACAGACATACTTAAAGTAGGTTAAAAAATACCAAATGTCTTATGTATCTACACACAAATTTGTAGAACTAATGAGTTTAGCAAAGTTGCATAATACCAAATCAATATATGAAAATGTCAAAGCTATTTCTATAGGCAAGTGATAAGTAAAAAGAAAAAAATTCAACTATAACTTCATCACATGGAATAAAATACTTAGAAAAAAATAAAAGAGGTAAAAGATCTGAACTAACTACAAGACATAGTTGAGAAGTTAAAAAAAATAAATGGTTGGGACCATTGCATGTTCATGGTTTGGAAGACTCAGAATTATCAAAATTCCATTCTGAATTGATCATTAAATCCAGTGCAAAATCCCAGCAAACTTTTTCTGAGAAATTGACAAACTGATCCTAAAATTTACATGGAAATGCAAGATTTATAATAGCGAAACAATTTAGGAAAAAGAACATAGTAAGTTTCACTAAGGAGTCAATGAGCCAAAGCAATCTACATTTGGTTATTTCCTTCTGAATATAGTCTTATTTTTCCATATCTTGTTAAATGCTGTTCAGCTAGCAGCTAGACCAAGTTCTTAGCAACACCTAGAAGACCATCATAAATGTTGTATAAGCAGCAAGAATAATGCCACCCTTCCTGAAAAAACTTCACACAGTGATCACTCGAACCTGGAAATATGTTACTTTACATGGCAAAAGGTATTTTGTAGATATGCTTCAGCTAATGGCCTTAAAATGGAGAAATGATAATGCATTATCTAGCTGGACCCATTCTGATCACATGGATTCTTCTCTTTAATTATGTCTTTTAACGTTTGTTTATTTTTGAGAGAAACAAGCAGGGGAGGGGCAGAGAGAGGGAGACACAGAATCTGAAGCAGGGTCTAGGCTCTGAGCTGTCAGCACAGAGCCCAACCTGGGGCTTGAACTCATGAACAGTGAGATCATGACCTGAACTGAAGTCAGATGCTTAACCAACTGAGCCACCGTGGCACCCCTCACATGGATTCTTAAAAGCAGAAAATCTTTCCAACCTGTGGTCACAGAGATGTAAAGAAGTCTCATTGAGATGCTCTATTGCTGGCTTTTAAGATAGACGAAGGAGGACATGAGCCAAGGAAATAAGCCTCTAGAATGTGGGAAAAGTAAGGAAACAGATTCTCTCCTAGACTCCTCTGAAGGAAGGACAGCCCTGCTGACATCTTTAGTTTAGCCCAGACCATGTCAGATTTCTGGCCTACATAACAATAACATTAAATTTGTGTTGGTTAAGCCACTAAGTTTCTGGAAATTTAGTACATTAGCATAGAAAACAAAGTAGATGAAGGGATTAATATTATTTTTGTTTACCTATGTAACTATACCTATATAAATTTCATTTTAACTAAATGAAACTTTAGTTATTAAACACATAGGTATGTTTGTAGGAAGAAATTAAGCACAATAGAAAGTTTTGATGAAAATGTATTGCCAATTAGTATATGGAGAGATTTAGTGCTAACATTAGTTTAGTGACATAAAAGTCAAATCACTCAATGTCTGTATTTTACAAGATATTACAATTATTGCTGTTCCAAGGTGATTTTATTTCTGATAAAGCTTTGTTTTTTCCTCAGAATGATTACCACCGCTTCCAGTACCACCAAACTTCACAATTAACAGGTGGTGTGTACTCTGACGAAATCAGTCATGTGACAAGTTGAGATACTTCCTGATTTTCTGGAGCAGGAAAGGTGGATTTTTTTTTTATTGTAGAAAAATGCGGAAATGACAAATTAACTCTGCCTGCATTTATTAAACTCAGGGTGGCAGTTAAGGGATTATGTGTGTTAATATCTTGTTTTTCTGCTAAGGGGAGCAAACAATGCTACCACTCAGTTGCCCAAAGTGAAGAAGCACTAGATAACCCTAATTCGACTCTTCCTATAACTCTCAGGGAAAGCTGCCATTTGATGATTATCTTTATTTCAAAATGAAGCAATGATATAGAGACAGAATTTTTTTTTTAATTCATCTTTTAATTCTTGAATCAGTGAGGACAATAGTTTGCTGTTTATGGGTACACAACAGCCCTGTCCTAAGTATACAAGGGTATACATAAGTCTGTAACATCAGCTACAGTGAATTTACTTTACTAGACAGCATAGCAAAGTAGGAGTAACTAAAGATATATTTTCATAAGAAAATGCTTTCAAATAACATGAAGTCAGTGAACTTTTGACTGTACAATTTATTCTGTCAAAATATAAATGTATGTCAGCTTATGTGTGTGAATTACACTAAGTCAGCCTCAACATAGCCATGTGCTTAGGAATGTATGAAACACTTCATAAGCAGTTCTCTAAGGGGTGTACTGAAAACTTCCAAAAGTACCCCAGATATTTGGTCATAGATAAGGAATAAACTTTAAGGCAATCTTCCAAGTGAATGTAAACTTTTCTGAAGTGGCCTTTCTAGTAAAGTGTTACCGTTACGAACACTCTGTACTTATTTGTAGTGCTATTGAATATTTTTAGTAGCACATTATCACACTAATTGTCACTTTTTAAAAATTAGCTTAAAAATCCTGCAATTATAAAAATGTCTGGGGTGCTTTTACTTTGTAGACAGAAAGCAGGCACTTTCTGTTGACTTATCTATAAATCCTAAATATTCTCTTCTAATAGTTTTTATCTCTAGCTAGAGTTGTACTTCTACTATCGTGTACTAAATACTGTGTTCGCATATCAAGAAATAATAATTTGCCTACAATTTTTCTAATTTAAGTCTGAGCTTAGAACTTCTTTTAATTGGTCATGTCCTACAGAAGCATCAAAATAAATAGTGCTACTCTTTGAACATTTTTTCAAGAATAATGACATTTTTCTGTTATGCCTTTTTCCAAAGTAATTGTCAGAGCATGTGAACTAAACTAACTACACTGGAGAAATGGGTACAGGCCATTAGGAGAGTCCCCTTGTGGTGACCAGCTAGTTTTACTTAATCTCCTTCTTAGCCTTATAATTGGCAGAGACCACCAGGTAATTGTCTGGATTCATGTCCTTAAGAGTTGGAGATTTGCTCTGGATGGGGGAGGTTTTGCCATCCACACGAGAGATCTGCAGCATCCGGCAGGGGTCGTGTTTCAACAAATACCCTGCAAAAGTTTCCCATCCTCCTCCCACACGGACCATGACATGTTTGTTGTGCAGCATCTGAAATGAAAGAAGAGCAAAGGGATTAAATTCTGAGAATTCTTACAGTATCTTAAATCGACTTTCATTTCTAGCACTACTATTGTTTTTTGTTTGTCTTGTTTTTTATGCCCCATTGTTTTCCTACTTGGTGCACAGTGCCTGCGTTAGCATATAGTATATGAAAGAAGCTTTGTTTCTCCCACGTGAGTGGACCATGGGTACATACACATCCCCAGGACCCAGCTTTGCCCTGCTATGGGAATCTGGATTTATGTATAATCCCTTGTTTGCTTGAATGTGTACAGAGGCTTCTGACATGGGATGTTCCATTACCACCTCATCACTGCCCCCATCTTCTGCCCACTGTCTCGGATAAGTGCTCCATTCTTCCCAAGTTATTCCCCTCTGAATGAAGGCTCAAAAGACCATGGAAATGTCTGCTCTTGAAAATAATGTTAATATCACACAAATACTCCATACAAAATGGAAGGGAAATGCACTCAGAAAAACTGAAGTCTTCTCCAGTCACTGAGCCCTTCAAGGCAAGATGATGCTGAATGGCCAAACACTTATGTTCTCCTTTACTCTTATTGTTTCTAATTACTTTAGAATACATCTTTAAAAAAAAAAAAAAAAAACTTACCTTCAGGCCTATGGCACATCTAGATTTCCAGGTTAACAAGGCTACAGGTTGATCAATAAAAACATCTCAGAGCTGTAGACTGTAGTCTGGCATGAAAAGCCAAAGAATTTTATCTTGGCTTCTTTCAAAAGTCAGAAAATGTAAGGTGAAGGGGAGATGTTGCTCCATCATCAAGATCCTGCTGACTGTTCCATGCCCATAACATGAAGAATACATACTGGCAGTGTAATGTTGAGAAGGACAGAGAGTTGTGTGAGGGGACTTGGGGAGTCACTTACATTGCAGAGCCTGTAAAATCTATTTGAATTCCTCTTGCTATGTCAGTTCGAGATTTGGAGGTGTTTTGACTCCCCTCAAGTGGAAGATTGACATGTGCTTACTGCTTTCCTTTGCCTGCTGAGAATCTGATGGAAATTCTGGACTCTCTTTTCTGATGTCTGTATTCCATAAAATTCTGCATGTGTGTGTAGGGGGTTCACAAGCCCCCAGAAATCATCCGTAGACTTCAGCAAAGAAATCCTGATTCACGTGGTTGACCTGAAGCAGTTTCAAATGTTGCGAAAAGTATTAAAAGTGTGCTGAGTGTCCATAGAAACTACGAGACTCACAAGAAAATGAAGCTAAATGTAATTCCACTGGTCATTTCTTTTAGAGAGAATTAGAGAATTAGACTTACAGTTAAGAATAGACTTAGAATAGAAAGGACCTTCAGAAACATCTAGCTACAAGTTTTAAACCTATTTTACACTCAGAATCTATTCATTAAAATCTCAATGGAAATCCCAGTCATATAACGCAGTCAAAAGGAGCCAGGATTCCGCTGTAACCATTTTGCCTCCCCGAGTGCTGCTGCCCTGCCCTTGGTACCGTGTTCCTGTTTTTCTGATAAAGGCACAGATCTTTGGTGTGATTTGCTTAGACTAGTATCCGGATTTCCTGACTCCAGTCTAATACTTGTCCTACAACAGTTCTTTGTAAAGCAAAACCCATCAAGGCTTATTTAATTGGACTGACCTAGTTCCATTCCCACAAGCTCCCGTGTGCGCCTCTATTGCCTGCTTCCAAACCTTGGAGTTACTGGGACAAAAATTGCAAAGGCTGGCATCAAAACAGTACGCTGACCCTTTCTCCCACTGTTCTAAGAAGAGCTTTGCATATTGTTGAAGTTCTGGCACCCCCCGGGCCTGCAAATTACATCTAAGAGTTTTCCTCTAAACATCCTTGGTATGAATGCCTGGCAGAATGCCCAAATTCACTTGACTATGAGCTATTTCAACCGGAAAAAACCACCAGTCAGTATAGTTTTTAAACAATTAGCTAACTCTGCAAAACAGTGAAAGAAATATTTTTCCACCTGGCATATATGATCATTTAGGTACAACCCCTTCTTGCAGATTCTTTAATAAATCCATACATGCATAGTGGATCCAACATGAAACAGAGTTGTACTGAATGTGAACAACATAGGGATTAAATTTCTGCCCCCCGCCCGCCCCATATCATTTCAATAGCTCATCAGCAAGCTCTAATTCTCCAAGAAGGCCAGTGGTCAAACTGAACAACAGTTTCAGGCATGGGGTCAAGAGTTCATGGCCATAAGTATTTACATCCTTGATTATAGAGATTTAAATGCCATGCCTTATCTTAGTTTGTGCTAAGTCCCAAGGGAAAAAAAAATAACACCCATCCCCTTCTCCATAAACCAAACCTCCTACTGTTTAACCTAAAAGCAAATCAACCTGCTGTAAACCAAACTACTCTCAACTCTTCCCTCCCTCCCCACCCAGTGCTTGCCCTACAAAACCCCAGCCTTGGGTTAAGTGTATAATCTTCCTTCAGAATCAGGGCTGAGCCGCTGAGCTCCTGCTGGAAGAACTCTTTTCATCTCAGGAATGAGTGACATTAGGTCAGTTGCAATTAATTGATCCTTTTGCTTTTTGGTTTGGGTCAGCTCCATTTCTTATTCCTCCCTATTATTCTCAAACAGGCTACTTACCTCTGTCCTCATCATTCTACTGATGGCTTCACTGTCATCGGGCATGGTTTTCTCTCTTGGCACCTCTACTGGCTTATTTATTTGTCTATATTTACCTTTTTCTCTACTTTCCTCATCACAGAAAAAAGTCCCTCTGTCCCAAGTCAGCTCCTTCCCATATGTCCTAATTCCCATTATCACCATGCAGAAGCTCCTACATCAAACATCACATCTCTCTTCTCTCTCATCAACTTATTGTATAATTGTCCTTATCCTTCAGGAGATAAACATCCTGAAGCCTCTCCCACTCTTCGTATAAAGCAAAATTCTGCTCCTTCCATCCCCGGCTACTTTGTTCTCATATCTTTTCCTTTCTTCTGAGCTTTCTGGTAAGTTTACACGTGATGTCTTCATTTCCAACTTCCTATTCACTGTCTGGCCCACTACATGTTGCTTCTGCCCCCACCTCTCAACTGACTGCACAGTGAAGAGAATCATGGCTTCGAGGGTTGTTGAATCCAATGGATGGCCCTTAATCTTTATCTTTCTTGATCTTATCAGATACTGATGTATCTGATAGTATTGACCACTCCTTCCATGAAGTACCCTACTCCTTTATTCTCTATGACAAGATTCTTTACTTTATTCTCTATGACACTGATTCTTTACTCCTGCTACCTCTCTAGGTACCTCTCTAGGACAATTATACAATAAGTTGATGAGAGAGAAGAGAGATGTGATGTTTGATGTAGGAGCTTCTGCATGGTGGTAATGGGAATTAGGACATTTGGGAAGGAGTTGACTTTCTCTGCCTCTTTCATGGTTCTGTTTTCTTCTGCCTACTTTTAAGCTTTGCTGCTTACATAGGATCTTACTGCCTCTAGCCTTGGGGAAGTCTGATCCATTTAGTAAATCCATTTCCACCAAAGGTACTTCCATAAATGCCTGTTTGACTGTCTCTTGCCTAAATAACTTCACTAGCTCCTTCTCTCCTACATTCAGGTCCCTTTGTTTGCATACATTATTCACCAAGACCACAACAGTCAGCCTTCCCTGCCCTTCCCTGAGCTCTGGGACCAGTGAATTATTTTAGTTTTATGTTCCCAGATAACACAGCCTTCCTTTCATGCTTCTGCATGTTTGCTCCTAAATGTGGAATGTCCTTTCTGTCTTGCCCTCACCACTTAACCTGCACCACAAACATTAGTTCAATCACCACTCCCGCCTGAAAAATTTCCCACAATCGTCCTCTTTACCAGATAAGTGAATGCTTCCCTGATGTATGCTATTTAGATGACACACAATTTCAATTGTTTTAGTCTACTTTAATCTCTAATTCACCTGTGTGCCTCTTTTAATTACATGTGAGCTCTCCAAAAAGAGTGATGATATATTTCTCATATTTTTAAATCTCCCATGTAAGAGCTCAGAGCAGTATCCATATTGTAATATCAATACTCCTTCCCATATATGCTTCCACAGGCTCTGCTTAACTTTCCTTAATTGATGATGTCATTCTCAGCATTACTCCATTTTACAGATGGCAATACTGATGCTTTGAGAAGAACTGCTGCTCTTAAACCACCTGTGCAAGATCGCACCACAAATTCAATGGCCTGATTGGGACAAGAACCCTTTTTCCCATTAGGCCACACCCACTGACTCCATAAAGCTCTTCAATGTGGATTTTCATACCTGCTTAGTTACTTACAAGTGAAATTTAGCACAGGCAAGGAATTATCAGTATCGGAAATAGTAATAAGCAGCTTAAGCAAATCAAATGCTCACATAAAACGATTTATGGGGCTATGTTCTAATAAAACCTACATAAACATCGAATTAATCTCAGAAGATTATTCTGTAGTGGCCCTAATTACTTTAGAAATAAACATGTGTCAAGTACAGGTAATAGGATAGAATACGTTTATAGCCAAATATCTGTCAGCATAAGAAGGACGAGGCTTTGATTCTCTGTTCAGTTACAGCTCCTGTACTTTTGATGCTTCACAATATTGAACAATGTTGTGTTCTCCATTCCAAAAGATAACTCCTCTTGACTGGTAGCATCTATGCACGAGTCAACTGAGTATTTAATAGCGGTTATCTGTGCTGGTGTCTGTCCCCTTTCTTCTCAAGCAAAGAAAAATAAGTTAGAATTGCTACAAATCTCCAATACTGTAAGTTGCAGAACAGTATGTTGGCACATCAGGCCTTTCCTGGCTCTTCCCAGTTTTTACAGCCTGCCTCATTCCTCACCGTGCCTTTGATCCTACCAAAAGGAAGAAGATTCATCACCAATGCAGCACAACTTGGCTACATCTCTCAATGCTGAAGAAAAAAGAAGAGCAAAACAGTAACAAAACTCTGTCTCAACGTTTCTCCCAAAGGCCTTCATGAAGT